AAAATGTCAGATCTTAACATGGCAATAGACATCAGGAAAGGAAATCTGATAGACAAATCGTAACTTGTATCAGACCTCATACATGAGTTAAACATAAGATGAATAATGAAAAATAATAAAACTGATAGAAATGAGAAATTGTAGCCTTATTTGTGAGTCCCATCCACTTCTTACTCCAAATTCTATTCAAATAATACAGTACCTCTAGCAGAAGGTATCATACTAATATCACTTTTGCTCTTTTATGGGTAATGTCACATACAGTTACAAAGATTCAAGACCTGCAAAATCATTTAAATATTTGTGCAGCCCTATTGCGGAATTAATTTTTTTTTTAATGAGAAAAAAAGCAATCAGTCTGACAAAAAGTATCAGCTTTTTTTGTACTCAATTCTCTCCACTTTGACCTCATCTCCAACAAGTTGGTAAACATAGGTCACAACCGTTGAACTTTGAATATCCATAAGAACAAATGAAGGTGTAACCGTTCTGAAGAAGAAAAGATAGGATTAGATTAGGTAGATAAAGGGAGAAATGGTTTGAAATACTATGAACAGATTTTGAATCAACTTACGTATCAAGAGGGTTGTAGGCCCCAGTTGCAGAGCCTGGGTTGATGTAAAATTTGCTTTCATGCTCATACGCTTCAAACTTATGAGTATGACCAGATATCAGAATATCTACATCAAGCTGGCGCTGAACCAGTGATAAGGACTCTGGGTCCCCCCATGGAACAACTTGGTGGCCATGTGAAAGTCCAATTCGAAATTGTCCAACTGTTACAACTTTCTGCTCTGGGTAGTTCAAGTTCTAAAACCAAGAAGATAATAGATATGTAAGAGAAAATTTGTGATTTAAAATTTCACAAAAACCAGACTGAAAAAATCATAGTTTACCTCATCAAAGTCACCTCTGACTACATGAACATCACTTGCCAGAGTTTTCAAGTAATCATATGACTCTTTAGTACATAAATTTCCTGTGCACAAGATATGCTGAATGCGACCAGGAACCAATAACTTCTTGAATTTAGCTGGAAGACTACTACAACGATGAGGTATGTGGAGATCGCCCAATACTAACACCAACTGAAACATAGAAAAAATAAAAGGTAAGCCCCGAAGATTTGTATATTTGTCATGGAAATCAAGACTCAGTGTTGGACAAAGGAGATTTAACACTGGTGAATGATACCCAATTCATAAGAAGATGAATACATTTCAATGAGAATGATCCGACAACACGCTAAACTATAAGGTACACAACGAACTTATCAATGATATTACCATTGAAATGTCAAACAGTGGTTACAAAACACTTTTAGGTTAGTTTTATAAAAATCCTGATAGCTGTTAAATTTTGTGAGATTTCGTTTGAAGTTACCACTCTTCTCCTGAATAAGAACGCACCATTGCTATAAGTTAAAATCCAACGAAGGATGACAATAGTCTTTGATGAATTACACAAAGTAAATACGGTTTGAATGGATGTCAAGGGGTGTCGGTGATGAGATCAAACCACCAAACACCAGACGGACATGAGAGAAGGCGGAATCAGGATGAGGGAATGAGAAATATCTAGGCGACAAACACGAACACCAACAACTGTCGAATAATGAACATGTTTTATATTTTCTAAGATGAATAATATGTTTATTCAGAGTAATAAGAAGCCATTTATAACAAAAACAGATCCTTTGTTTGTTAATGGAATCGCAGGTAAATCAAAAGCCAATGAATCACATAAAATTATTTTTTTGTTGTGGTTTCTACTCTTGCCAGAGGGGTCGAACTCCGGTCATATAGCTGACCACTTCATCGAACCTCTTCCACTTCACTTGCCTGTTCTTCCTCTGGCAAGGTCGTCTGGTTTAGCACTTCTCAGTTGTCCGCGGCATATTCCTCATCACTGAAAAAATGTTCTCCCGACTTGTTAAGCCCCAAACCGTCGCGGGCATCGCCAAGAACGCCCAGAACTTCAGCACCAGCGGCCAGGTAAGAAATATATTCCGTGCCAGTTCGTAAATCTCTCGCGTTACCTGTCCCAACCGAACGTCACGTAACCTTTACGGGTTAAAGTTGACCAAAATGATTCTATGGACTGTGTTGGGTGTCGGATATGGAATGCTTACATGTGACTGAAAGTGTGGAACCTGTTCAATGTTTGTGGATTTCGTTGCACTTTATGTGTGCGACACACCTGTGTGGAATGCAGGGTTAGCAATTGATCTCCGTAGGTGGTCGTGGTCATCTTCCACATTATGGAATGTTTCCACTCGCAATCAATGGCCACGACAACGGCCAAGTCGCGATAAGAGTGCGTTAGTGGTGCGTAGGCAGTATGCCACAGCACCTGTCCCTGACCTTCGAAATGATTATTTTTAAACCACCCACACGGGAGTCACATGATGATACTGGATTGATTGCTAAATATGAGCTGGCCCCCATTTGAGTAAAGAAGATGACTGAGTACTTTTCATCAATATTTTCTAGCCTGTCTGCTTCACTTCTTATCTTCACACACTTGTCAATTCTCTCTTGTCTCTTTCATTTCAGAACAATGTCAAAGTTGCTGTCATGGGAGCAAGTGGCGGCATTGGCCAGCCCTTGTCTCTGCTTCTCAAGAACTCTCCCCTAGTCACTGAGCTATCCCTGTATGACATTGTGCACACCCCCGGTGTGGCTGCTGACCTTAGTCACATTAACACCAACTCCAAGGTCCGCGCCTCAAATGGACCCGAGCAGCTTAAGGCAAGTAATGAGTTTGGTTGATGTTTTTTATCCAGCAGATGCAATTGTAACTGTCTTACACCTCATTTTGTGTTGATTTTAGGATTCATTGAAGGGAATGGAGGTTGTCATTATTCCTGCTGGTGTTCCCCGTAAACCGGGAATGACCCGTGATGACCTGTTCAACACCAATGCTTCTATTGTGCGTGACTTAGCTCAGGCTTGTGCTGAGGTCTGCCCGAAAGCTCTTATTGGAATTATCTCAAACCCTGTAAGTGCTTTAACTGGATCTGTCTCGTTTCTGTAATTCAAGGCCATAGCTCATTCATATGTTTTTGCTCTAGGTCAACAGTACGGTCCCAATTGCCTCTGAGGTGTTCCAAAAGGCTGGAGTGTATGACCCCAACAGGATATTTGGTGTTACTACTCTGGATATTGTTCGTGCCAATGCCTTCATTGGAGAGGCCAAAGGACTGAACCCCACTCAAGTCAATATTCCTGTAATTGGAGGTCATTCAGGAGTTACCATTATTCCTCTGATCTCTCAGGCCAAGCCCTCTGTTGATTTCCCTAAGGACCAACTCAAGGCTCTCACTGAGAGGATACAGGTAAAGTTTCATGCTGAAGTAATATTTATGTCCTATCAACTTCAAGACACACTTGAGCATACATGTTAGTAGTGGACTGAACTGATCTTACAACCAGGCATAAGTCGGCTCTCACCCTGTCAGCTTGTGATGGACTTGTCTGATTTTGGAGATTATTAATTGTGCTTTACCCTAATTTACAGGAGGCTGGTACTGAGGTTGTCAAGGCTAAGGCTGGTGCTGGCTCTGCCACCCTCTCTATGGCATTTGCTGGCGCTCGATTTGCCTTCTCTCTCTGCCGTGCCATCATGGGAGAATCCAACATTGTTGAGTGCTCTTATGTACGATCCAATGTTACTGAGGCCAAATACTTCTCGACACCTATTCTTCTTGGGGTAATTAGACTGACAGTTGTATCCCTTCAATTACTAAGTTGAAATGCTGACAAACTCATTTTGTTTTTGATCCACCTAGCCTAACGGTGTGCAGAAGAACTTGGGTCTTGGCAACCTGAGCCCCTACGAGCAGGATCTTCTGAAGGCTGCCATTCCTGAACTCAAGAAGAACATCCAGAAGGGAGAAGACTTTGTCAACAAGAAGTGAAAACCTATGGAATATGTCAGGACAACAAACCCAGACTGCTGGAAGCTGGTTTTATTTTAAGGTCCAATCTAATAAACCATTTCCAGCTGGCTGGAAGTGAAGTAACTAGTCAGCAGGGTGATGGTTGGCTTTTAGAGCCAACCTACCAGCCAGAATATACTTGTGTAGAACGTAAGCTGGTAGATTCAGGAAAAAGACCATATTCTGGTCTTGTTACATAGTTGCAGCTTAATGCTGCCACTTTGCATTTTATACTGTTCCCAAACAATTTAGGATTTCATTCCTTGAGGCTAAGCTCATTTTAATTCTTTCATCTTACCTGTAAATATGATTTGTGTTTAACTGAATTAATACTCCACTGTACTGGTTATTTTCATTAAATGGATCTGTTAAGTCTTAACTCTGTTATTGACTCTCCTTTCAACCAATCATGTGAATTTGAGTGTATGTATTGTAATAGCACCACTTGCTGATAAAGTCTTGATCAGGTACACTCCAGTAGCCTTCCATAACTTCTCACCAGGAAAGATGGATTAATATTATTTAAAGATACAATTGTCGACAGGAACTTGCAAACTTTTTTCTACTTGTCCAAACCATGGTTTTAATAAAGGGCTTCACTCTGGAAAGTGTTTTAAATATATTGTGCAATGCCCTCTGCATACAAAATTTCTTACTACTGGCGCATTCGTTACAATTTGTCAACCATCATGAACATTCAATTGGAAGTCATCTGTGGATACAACAGAGGCAGTATGGTGTTTTTGGAATCTGAAATATTATAGCAATGAAATTAAAAGGAAAGTACGCTAAAAAAAATAAAGGTTTAATCTTTATTTTTACATTTTACATATTAAGAGACTTGACATGTCCATTTCTTACAATTTAAATCCCATAGCTTCTATCCAAGTCAAGCCATTCACAGTTCCATTTGAAGGTTTATACTCTAAACCCACCCACCCATCATACTTGATCTTTTCTAAAATCGAAAACAAGTAGGCATAGTTGATTTCACCAGGAGTATTTGGCTCCCCACGCAAAGGAACCTGAGCAATTTGCACGTGGCCTATTAGGCCTTGAGAGGCAAGACCCTCAATATTTGAGACAAGGTTTCCATGCAGTTGCTGCAGATGGAAAACATCAAGCATAATCTTCAAGTTAGGACTATTAACCTTCTTAACAAGGTCTACAGCAGTGATATAGCTAGACATGAAGTAGTCTGGTACAGAACGTTGATTGATAGGTTCTATTAAACCAACTATTTTCTCCTTTTCAAATACTTTAGTTGCCCATCGAATATTCTTCTCATAGGTCTCTTGGTTAGCAGGAGTGGGATTCTTTACTAGTCCAGACATCACATGTATTAGCTTGCAGTCCAGAGCTTTAGCATAGTTAACAGCTTTAAGGACGCTAGCTTGGAAAGCATCTTCTTGGCCAGGTATAGCAGCAAAACCCAATTCACCTTTAGTTACATCACCAACATAAACATTGATGAGAACTTGCTTTAAACCATTATCCTCCTTTGCCTTTACTAACTCTTCAATTGAATGGACATATGGAAAGCCAACTTCTACTGCTTGAAAACCAGCCTTTTTGGCCAAACTGTAACGCTCTAGAATGCTGGGGCTTTCAAGAAACATAAAATTGAGGTTGGGACAAAACTTAAAAGGAGCCATGATGAGATGTCGGCAAGCTGCAGCTGAGGTTACTGAGGATAGCATCACTTGTTTGTTCACTTCTATCTTATCACTCTTATCAGTTCACCAAGCAATTAAAGAGTAATACCACATACAGCCACTGAGATACCAATATGAACCACTTGAACAATGTCTGATTTCAAAATTTAGACAAAAGTAAGGAATGGTTCATTGAGACTTTATACAACTTATGCAATTGGTCCATTAAAATTATCTTCCACCACTAATTCCTATCTTGCTTCATAAACAATTTATTACACCTTGGACATTCAGGGAACTTTTTGCACAGGTTGTCCTTGACCATTTGTTTGACTATTGCAGTTAAATCCGTTTCCAGTGCCATTTGCTGTGCCCGGAGGATGAGAGTTACTTTGACCACCAGGTGTTGACTCTTCGGCCTGTTTCTGCAGCAGTCGAGTTCGGCGCCGGGTGTAATGTTGCCACAAAAGAATTTGTTGATCATCAATGAATTTGGTGCACTGAGAGCTTACAACTTCCCGGCGGAAATGTTCATATTGCAACAAATCCAGGAAGTATAAGCACATTGGATACCTGATAGCAATAGAGACACACAATTAAGAGTGTTACAAGAATATAAAATGTAACTTATCACAGCTGTCTTGCTCCATATAAACAGTGTATGGCATAAAGAACAAAAGTAAATCACTTTGCATTTAAAGCAACAAAGACTTCAAAAAGATTGAAGAATGTACTACACAGTCAAGGGTGATTCTTTTTTTCCAGTAAATTTTCAACAAGTCAAAAATTTTTAAAAAATAACCAAAGATAATATTTAAAAATAAGAGAACAAAGCAAGCAAAAATTACTCAGTACAACTAGAGGCAGGAAATTAACAAACTTGTTACAATGTCTTAACTTGTTTTTACACTCTTGGTTCTAGTTTTATCTATATTTTCACAAGCAGATACATTGCTGTCACTGACTTCACCAATAGATTCCTTCGAATTATTGAGTAAGACAGTTTTGGAACTTGATTTTAATGGATCAGGGCCCACTTCAACGACATCAAAGTCACCACTTTCCAAATCTATAACAGTTTGCGCTTTTCTCTTGAGAGAATTAGACCCACAATCCTTCACCTCTTGAATATCACTGTCATCACTATCAACTATTACAGAGTCATCCTGATTTTTTATGTTTTTCTTAGGTTTTACTTTGGGCATGACAATGGGATTTCCACAAGTGTCTACCAAACTCAGTTTGGGTGTGGAAGAGAGAACAGTGGGTTTAAATTGCAAAATATCAGCAGAAACATTGTAAACTGCAGAAAGACATTCTTTTTGCGGTACTTTCTTGGGTTCTGGTAGGATTTTAGGTGGTGAATGTGACTCTCTGACAAAGACTACTTCTGCTTCAACTTCCTCTTCTGACATGGTTTCTTCTTTAACAACAACTGGAATATTGTCTGTTTCTACTTTAGATTGTGGAGCTTTCACTTGTGTCTGAGAGATATTTATCCCATCACTTTTTTCCTTAGAGGTAGAGCTTTCTGATTTGCCATCACCAGCCTTTTCAGCTCCAGATTGTTTGAGAAGAGCCCTAATAGCACGAGCTCGCATCTCAAGTTCAAGAATTTCCAGCAATGTTTTCCCTTCTTTTACTTCACCTTTTTTCTCATGGTTCACTTCAATGTTAGCCTTATCTTTCTTATTATTTCTAGTATCCACAAATTCCTCTTTTACCTTCTTCTCAACATTTTCTTCCTCATCAAGTAAGTCTCCCATTTCTTTTGGAGAAAGTCCAATCTGTAACATGTCTGGATCATCCTCCATTTTAGTTGGTTCTGCTTTCACAGGAACAATTTTGCCCATATTGTTTTTGGTTTTATTCTTGGTTCCTAAATTGTTTTCACCATCACTGCTTTCTGCAGAGGAGTCACCACAGCTGCTACTTGTAAGGCTGCTGCTACTACTGCTGCTGCTGCTTGAACTCGACACCAAGTCCACACTTGGTTTCTGCTCAGATTTGTCATCCTCTACATCAGGAGCATATGGTTTACCTTCAAGGATCCTGGCGATTTGCTTCTCAGACATACTATTTAGTTGTTCTAGACAATGTCCTTTCAAATCTTGCCACTGGATTTCCTTCAAGAGTGGGGGAAGCATTGATTGTATTTTGTCTTTTTTGAGAACGTTAAACATCTGCTCAATCATTTCAGCCCGATCTGATATGTAATGACCAATGGGATAGAGTTCTCTATCCAATTCAAGGTCACCATCTGAGCCATCATGATCACTGCTATTCTTGGTCCTCTTCCTACGCTTGGTCTTCACGTTCTTACGTTCTCCAGCTTTCACATTTGATGGCATCGTAAATACTGAACTGTGTCAGCAAGAGCAACTGCTCCAGAAGCCAAATAAACTGCGATAAAGGATAACACAAAACTCTATTGGGAAATGATAAAAGTAATCCAATTATAATGCCAATGCCTTAAAAATCTAAGAAAATGCTACGTAAAATGCCTATTGCTTATATGGAGCAAACACACACACACACACACATAGGTACAACCAATTGAGATGGAAAATAGAAACAATAAATTTAAAAAATAGAGATGTAGAATCTCTAGACAAATAAATTAATGAAAATTTAAGTAACTTACTTTAAATATCTGGCATAATCTGGCTCCTTCCAGTACAAAAGGTATTTCAAGTAATTGATAAATGACTGGTCCTTAAAATATCCCCTTTGAGCTAAAACTGTAATAGAGAGATAAAAAGAATTGTTAGACAAGCACATAATTTAACAAATTTAAGTAGATTGTAGAGCTTTCAACAACTTACAATTCAAGTAGTTCGGATTAGCTAAGCATTGCACAAACTCCAGCTCTACTTGGAAGCGAAGACGCTGCTTGTCATCAGGCTCTGGCCCCTCACCTACAAAATTTGCAAAATAATAAGCAAAAGTAAGTACTGGTCCATTCAAGTGAAAATAAAAAGGTCAAAAAATTGTTAGTTTATGTTTTGACCCCCATACAGTCAATACAAAACAGAAGGACCACATTGTGAGGTTGCATAAAATTCAGAAGAAATTTGAGCAAAGTTATCACATAAAACTGTATTTTTTCGCAAAATCAACGAGGAATCCAAAACACAACATAATGAACATAGAAAATAAAAGGTGACAATGTTAACCTACCATCCTCAAAGCCAGTGTATCGTTTGTATCTTCCCGACATAGATAAGTAACTTGAATTCTTATCTAGTATTCCAAGTTACTACGACATTGAAGAAGTTTGATAACTTACACCAACTTCTCTTAAATTTTTGCAGCAAAACTATAGCGGCTTCTTCGTTTGAAAGAGTAAGAGGAAAGTTTCTCCCCTGCCAACCGCCACAGATCAGCAGCAGCAGCAGCAGCAGAGAACCACAGCCTTTCTGCTGTTCCTTCTGTTCATGTACTCCACTCCCCCTCCACCCTCCCCTCCCCCTTCAACTCAGTTGTCAAAGAGGTGCCAACATAATGTAGTAAAAAGTACCCCAGCACTTCACTTCGTCAAATGCTAATTAGAATTACAAAACCCTGTATGAAATTCAGAAAAATGTCTTTGTGAACTGGTTTTGTAAAAACAAGTTGAATTTTTCCAAAAATTACCATTTTATGTGTTATTACTGAAGCTATTTTGGCCCGTTGTGTTAGAACACAATCGCAGAGAATGGCCATGAAAAATTGTGCGAAACGTCTCTGAAAATTTCAAGTTGTGAAGAAAAAAAGCAAAAGAAAGTCTTCATGCAATGTTTTGGTTATGTCTGTTGATGAATATGTCTGTTCAAAATGAAATAAAAGTGTGAAAAATATATATATATTACTTTCAAATATGTTAGTGATGTCTATCTGTAGTAAGCAGTGATTTTAAATAATGGAGGTTGGAGCAGGGAGTCGAACCACCCGTTTCATGATGGAAGGTGTTGGTTCTCGAGTTATACGTGGGCCTGATTGGAAATGGGGGAAACAGGTTGGTAAATTTAATTTCTGGAACTATTAGGCGCAAATATGTAGTTCCTCTACTCTATGCATTGACATGTTACGTTAGTTCTGTTGTGCGTGGCGGTTGTTATGCTGTAGAGGTTAAACCTGTTCTTTGTGTCATCTATTTACTTTATTGTCAATCCTTTTAATAAGAAGTTTCTAGTTGCTCGTTGACTTCTTTCTTTTCTATTTACGGTTGATTTCTTTGCCTACCATATGATTTTTGACTACATCCAGCAACACTCAGCGGGGCCTGAACTGCTGTCAATCTGAATCTTAACGTTACACCCATTGATATCAACTTCCTTTGCTTTTCATTGTGTTCCAGGATGGGGGAGAGGGACATGTTGGCACAGTTCGCAATTTTGAATCTCCAGAAGAAGTGGTGGTTGTCTGGGACAATGGAACAGCAGCCAATTACCGCTGTTCAGGGGCGTATGATTTGCGCATTTTAGACAGTGCTCCAACTGGTTTGTCACCCTTTGATACATATTTTTTTCTTGGATGTTGTCCATTACTTGTTTTATTGAAATTTCTCCATTTACAGGTGTTAAGCACGATGGAACAATGTGTGACACATGCAGACAACAGCCCATTTTTGGAATTCGATGGAAATGTGCAGAATGTGGGAATTATGATTTATGTTCAATTTGCTACCATGGGGATAAACATCACCTACGTCATCGTTTTTTTCGTATCACTACACCTGGATGTGAAAGGTGATAACACTTATTCAGTCTTGAAAGTTTTGCGGAAGGATTCTGATTTTGATGGTTTATTTCTATGTCACTTTTGTAGAGTTCTTCTGGAACCTCGCCGAAAGAGCAAGAAAGTTGCTGTTCGAGGAATCTTTCCAGGAGCAAGAGTAGTTCGTGGTGTGGATTGGCAATGGGAAGATCAAGATGGTGGCAATGGTCGGAGAGGGAAAGTCAATGAAATCCAGGATTGGTCTGCTGCCAGCCCAAGATCGGCTGCCTATATCATCTGGGATAATGGAGCAAAAAATCTGTACCGTGTTGGTTTTGAGGGAATGGTCTGTATAATACTGATCCAATCCATGTCCCATTTCTGTCATCATTTATTCAGATAATATCACCTTAAATTTTTCCACTAGGCTGATCTGAAAGTAGTGAATGATGCTAAGGGGCAGGGTGTTTATCGGGATCATCTACCTCTTCTGGGTGAGCTGGGTCCTGGACGCTCGGGCCCTCATGGATTACAAGTTGGTGATCAGGTAAGACACTGTTTTTTCTCATTAATTGATGAGAAGCTGTTTACACCGCTTTTTACTATAAAGTATCGATTTTTATTCGCGTTTGTGTTTTTAAATCAAAGGTTACTGTGGATCTTGACATGGAAATAGTGCAATCTTTACAACATGGCCATGGTGGTTGGATGGATGGCATGCTTGAGTGCCTTGGAACTACTGGCTTTGTTGTGGATATTGATGAAGATCATGATGTAGTGGTTTCTTATCCTAGTGGTAACAGGTATGTGTGTTTTATCAAAATTTTATTTTCTATCTGTATTTTGTTGAGCCACATGTTAAAATTTCCATTTTTCCCTTTCATGCTCCTTCCAGGTGGACTCTAAATCCAGCAGTTCTAACAAAAGTGCCAACTCCTGTGTTGTCTTCTTCAGGGGAGCAACAGTCACAATTTGCTGTTGGGGATCTTGTTCAGATATGCCAAGACCTCGAACGCATCAAAATTTTGCAGAGGGGCCATGGGGAGTGGGCTGAAGCTATGGCTCCGGTAAGTGAATTTTTACACAGAGGATTATTTTGAATCAAATTTAAAAAGATTATTACTCTCCAATGTTATGTTTTTATTCTAGACTTTAGGCAAAGTAGGTCGTGTCCAGCAGATTTATCATGATAATGACTTAAAGGTAGAGGTTTGTGGAACATCATGGACGTACAATCCTATCGCAGTAACTAAAATGGCATCTGCTGATGGATCTAATGGAGGTGAGTTGCACCTAAAATTGATAGTTTGCCTGGCTTGGTGTCAGTTTTGAGACTTATTACATATGACTATTCATCAATTTCAGAGCGCTTGAGTGAGTTACTGAAGAAACTCTATAAAACGCAAGGTACTGGTGATGTTACTGAAGAGTTGGTAAAGGCAGCTGCAGCGGGAGACGTACAAAAGGTTGAAGAGACGCTGAAGCATTCAGAGCTGGATGTCAACGGGGTTTTTGCTGGACACACTGCTCTACAGGCAGCTAGTCAAAACGGCCATCTAGAAGTTATTAAAATATTATTATTCCACAAGGCTGATGTTGAAATTGAGGTATGTCACCTTCAGAGTACTATTTAATCTAAAAAGCGTTTATTGAGAAATCATTGTGAAAACAATATAGATACCTATACCAAAACTATATTGTATCGTTATTGAAATGATAAAGTATTGTCATTAACACAATATCGTATCGTTATCAAAACGATATTGTATTAAGTCACATGATATCGTATCCTTATCTAACATGATATCGTTTTGACATCGGTACCTAAACGATCTCGTTTCGACGGTCAGTTCTCACCGCTGCAATCCCTCTCTTCAGGATAACGACGGAGACCGCGCCGTGCACCATGCCGCCTTTGGGGACGAGCCCGTCGTGATGGAGCTGCTGGCGCAGGCCGGGGCGGACCTCAACGCGCGCAACAAGCGCAGACAGACGGCGCTGCACATCTCCGTCAACAAGGGCCACCTCAGTGTCGTCAAGAACCTCCTCGCCCTGGGCTGTCACCCGAGCCTGCAGGTGAGTGCTGTAGTTGTGTGTCCAACATCCGCCACCCACAACTGCAGCGGAACCAAACGTCTTTCCTACTGTGATGAGAGCATATGGGGTTTGTAATTGCCTTTTGCACGGTGGAGAGAGATCTCCACCGCGGCCTTTTGACATCAAGGTCAGTGCGAGGCGGCTGGGGCGACCCCCCCCCCTTCCCTGTAGCCAATCCCCACTGGCAAGAGAGGCATCATTTGGAGGGGCGAGGCCAGATCTGGCCAGACCCCGTTCAGCCGCGTGAGAGCCGGGCGAGATCAAATTGATTTACGCGGCCGATGTACGGGGCATTAGACCGGGACGTGCCAGGCGAGGCGAGGACCCGTTCGGAGAGAGGGGGGAGGGGAGGGGGGTGCCCGCCCCCAAAGGCATTTAACCCCCCGCCACACTACAGTTTCTAATTTCACGTCGACGCGGCGGGGATGTGCCCAGCGAAGCGTGCAACCCGTCTCTCTCTCTCTCTGTCTCTCCCTGCCGCTCCGTCACTGCCTCGCTCACTCTCCCTGCCGCCGTCAGCGCGCCCGCGCAGCGCCGCCCACGCGGTACAAAGGCCGGAGGACTAGCTTTGCGCTGAGGCCAGTCCGACCAGTAGGACTGGCTCCGTTTGGTTTTCCGGTCGACGCGTCAACAGCACTGCTGCTGCTGCTGCTGCTGCTGCTGCTGTACGCCCAGGCCCAGGTCGGCGCCTCCCCAGAATGAGAGCCGCACAGCGTCGCACCGGG